ACGATGCTCGTTATATGACGGATGAATGCTCAGTACCGATTCATTTATGTCACAGGGCAGTGAGCTAAGGCCTTTGCACAATCTAACATTCAAAGACCAGGACAACTCTCCCCCAGTACCAAATAAGACAAATTAAAGAATCCCTCTACCTGCATATGCAAACGAAATGGAAGGTATGCTAATATGGAATGATTATATTTTTCAACGGCAATAACTTAACAAAACTTCCTATTCTTTCCAAGATCTACTTCTATTCACCTATATTACTTTATTCGTAAAAATATTTAAAATATTAACTAATTAGTTTTATGGTCAAATACACAAATTTAAGATTATTCAACTCTTGCTTTAAATAACCTCGGGCATGGCGGCGTTCATTCTTTTATTCTCTGCTCTCACCGTTCCTCTTATTCCTGTCCCTTCTTTCTCGTGTTGATAAGCTAATTGAATCATGCCTGACGTTAATCTGGTTGAAAATGGCAACACTGGAAAGGGGGATCTCGTAGCTAATAGCATAAGTATGCTTTATTTGTTTTAACTGCCCTAGACCCTGATGACCCTGAATTCGTTAGACAACTTTTAAGACCTGCTGAGATAAAAGAAGATGTGAACCTAATGTCCCATAAAAAGCGCGTTTCGTTAATTTTAAAATCGGATCTCTTTCGTAAGGAGCTTGAGGAAGTCATCCAGTCGCAGATGAAATCCGGCGAATTCCCAGGGCTGAGTACCAGCCTTCTTTCCTTGCAACATATTTCAGATATGTTTGTATCTGCCCCTGGAAAACAACCCTCTTCCGGTGGTGGCTTTAGCAAAGGTGCTTTTAAATATATATTACCTTGTTCTTTCGCTGGCGCACAGCCTTGCTTTACCTGTTTGATTTGCAGGCGGTGGAGTCATTCCCATCAACGACCTTCGTGGTGGTACTGTCGCCGCTTATCCTCGGAATGAGCGAATGCTAAGGTGCAAATTAGCGTCGGTCCATCGTCTCATCGATCTATTTGGCTGGAGCACAAACATTTACACTAGTGTCACTGTGAGTTATTCTATTATATTCTTGTTAAGTTCGTTTGATGTAAACCTCGATTTTACAGGTCCGCATCAGCCGAAATCATGAACATTTTCTGATTAAACCTCTTGGCTTGCTTTATCATGAAGTAACTGCTTCGTCTCTTCTAAGAGTTGATTCCAAAGGTAAAGATTATATTAATTGCAAACTGTCTTATTATTCGTCAATATATATCCTCCATTTTCTACCTTAGGTGAGGTTTGGGATGGAGGATCTACAATTCTTGGAATTAATTTATCCGGCTGGCTCTTGCATTCTTCAGTCTTTGCTTCGCGACCGGATATAAGGTGTATTATACATCTTGATACTCCAGCGACGATTGCTGTAGGTTATGACTTTAACGTAAATTGCACGTGTGCGTATATAGTTTAGTTGATTCTTGGATATTTTTAACAGATTTCGTGTATGAAGTCTGGATTACTACCGATATGCCAAGAAGCAATGATTTTGGGCGAAGTCTCTTATTTTGCTGATTATAATCCTATCTCAATGCCCATGAGTGGAGCCCCTGCTCATTCCTTAAGCTATGGAAGTTCGGATAATGGTGATTTCAGTCATTTTGTTACGACAGCACTTATGGAACAACGAGACAAAGTCCATGAGGCACTTGGACCTACTGCTCGCATTTTTTTTGTTCGCGGCCGAGGGCTGTTTGCCCTTGGCGAGTCAGTTGAGGAAACTTGGCATTACGCTACTAACGCTGTGGTTGCTTGTGAGACTCAATTGCTGCTTGCCTCATTAG